TGAAAAACACAAAGTTAGATTTCTACTCCACTCTTTACAACTTAAATTCCACATGGAACAAAGATTTAAATGTAAAAACCAAAACTGTAAATGTTTCAGGGGGGGGAAAAAAAAACAGACATGAATGTTTTTGTAATTCGAAATTGAAGAAGGCTGTTTCTAAGCATGCCGTAAAATCCTGAGGGCAAGAAATAAAGGATTTAATAATTCTGACTACATAAAAATTTAAATTCCATATGTTAAAAATACCATAAGCAAACATAAGCAAAACTCTATGACAACAAGCAAACTGCAAAAAAGTAATTGTCATATATACTACAAAGGGTTATACACGCGTGCATACACGTGTACAAGAATTACCTCCATTGTACAGCGCAGTGCATGATACTTTATGACACCCAGTAAGTACTGGCTTTATTGAATGGTAGGGCCAGAGGTCCTTCTGCCTGGGTCTTTCTCATACCCAAACACTATCAACATCCTGCTTAAAATATTGGGACTGGATTTGCACACCAATTTTACCCAATAACCAATTACTCAAGGCATCTGCTAGATGAGTGAGTTTAAGTGTTATGAAAAATAAAGTATTTCAAATGTCAACATCTCCTTCTACTTTGAGCCACAGTCTTAAGAAAAACTCAGAGAGAAAGTGAGAGAAAGGTTGAGAGACTGAGAATAAATGAGTATGAATCCGAGTCAGATGATGATGTTCAACATGTATATACTGGGATGTGCCGCAACACTCATTTCAAGACAAGATTTCTTCGCTCTGGTTCTGCTGAGTGACTATTCTGGTTCTCTTGATTGCCTGAACACAGAGGGCCATGGCTGAAGCACCAGCCAAATGCTGGTGAGTGATACCATCTGGTGTTAAAATTACAGAACTACACTCAGATGATGCTATACTCTACAGTATGAAAAATGGACACCTTAGCCTTGGTTTACACCTCCTCTCCATTACTCTGCTGCACCAATCTCATAGCTATGTTAATATTTAAACATAGCTATATTAATTACGACTTGATGGCACATAACAACAACAACAAATATTAATTAAAGAATGTAAAGTACTTTAAGTTATTGAAAAGAAAACCTAGTGGGCAGGAATGGAGAACAGGGAGTTTGATTAATGCCTGTACTATATGCTAAGAAGGTATCATCCCTGGGTTTATTATTTGTTTAAATTTCCAGCCTGAACCACCTGTCAGGGTAACTTATTTTTAACTTACTGTGTATTACAGAAGTGTATTTTATGTGTCCTAAAATAACCCTTGTAAGCTCTAGTAAGTATACCTTTTCATTATAATGTTCTAGATTTGGGCTACAAGACATATATTTAGCACACTTTCTCCCCCATTCTAAAATAATGATCACGTCTCTACCTCATCTACCTAGTATTAGGAATGTTAATGGCAAGGTTTCAAAATTTTACCTTCAGCCCAGACCTTCTTCAAGAGCCACACACTCCCTTTTCTAGCTGGTGTCACAAATATGTGAGACCTAATTAATCCACAGCTGATGTATTAGCCATATATCCCAATCCTCTACGGACATTGCTTGTCCCTCTTTGTCTTACTTAATGGTAAACTCATCACCCAAAACACCAAAGGAGCAACCATTTACTGTGTAAATGACAAGGTGCCAAGCACCGAAGTATGATACATAAATCTCACTGCATCCTCACAACCCAAAGAAGTTGGGGCTATTGTTATCACTACTCCAGGTGAGAGAAGTAAGGAAGAAATACACTTACTTGAATTCCCTGCATGAACATAAGTCTTATCAATTCTTTCAGCAAGTTTTCTCCAGTCTAATGGCACCCACCTCCACAGCCTCTGCCTCACATCAAGCTCATCATCTTTCATCTTTCACTTAGAGAAAGTACGTGTGCTGGAATCAGACCTAGATTTGAATCCAGCTGTGCCATTTAAATGACCATTGGACCTTAAGTTCCTTTTCTAACCTCTCTTAATCTTACTTTCCTCATCTGTAAAACAGGGACATTGACCCCTATCACAAAAGATATAAAGGTGGGAGATGACAAACATACCATGTGGTATGCATTCAATTTGGAAGGAAAAAAAAATAAGGTGAACAATAATACTAGGAAAGTATGCGCTCATTACAACAATCAACCATACTTAATGCTAAGAAAGTAGGAAAGGATAGGGAAGAAGTACGAGGGGAAATGGTAAACGCAAGGAGGAAATGAGAAGAGTGTTATTACATTATGGGGACTGCAATGATTATCACAAAATAAAATGTGCACAAATTGCTGACTGGAAAACCAATTTGCTCTGTAAACTTTCACCTAAATCACAATTTTAAAAAAAGAAAAAGAAAAATCTGTTGTCATAGGATTTTCTTAGTGGAAGCAGATCACAAGGCCTTTCTTTCATGGTGCCATTGGGTAGATTTGCCAATCTTTAGGTTAGTAACTGAGAGCAAACCACAGTGTTACCCAGGGACCTCAATCACTGCTGTCCAGTCGGATTCAATTCATAGTGACCCTTCCTTGAGTTTCTGAGGCAGTATCACTATGGAAGTAGATTGCCCCATCTTCCTTCCAAGGTGTGGCTGGTGGGTTTGAACCTCTGTCAAGTCAATTCCGACTCACAGTGATCCCAAGTTACAAAGTAGAACTGCTCCATAGGGTTATGAAGGCTGTGACCTTTCGGAAGCAGACTGCTGGCCTTTCCTCTGAGGAGCCATGAAGTGGGTTTAAAAAGACAATCTTTTGGTAAGCAGTCAAATGTTTAACCAAATAAAACAGAAAAATAAAAACAAACAAACAAACAAAAACCCCACTGCTAAGTAGTTCTAACTCATAGCAACCCAATAGGTCAGGGCAGCTCTGCCCTACAGAGGTTCCAAGGCTATAAATCTTTACCAAAGCAGACTGTTGTATCTTTTTCCTATGGAGCTGCTGGTGGGTTCCAATCACTTTTCAGTTAGCAGCCAAGTGCTTTAACCACTGTGTTACCAGGGCTCCTTCTTAACCAATCCAAAACCAAACTCACTGACATTGAGTCAATTCTGACTAATAGCGACCCTAATTGAATTTCTAAGACTAACAAATCTTTATGGAAGCAGACTGTCTCATCTTTCTTCTGCTGAGTGCCTGGTGGGTTTGAACAACCAGCTTTTGGTTAGCAGCCAAATGGCTTAATTACTACACCACCAGAGTTTCTTTCTTAACCAAACAGTAGCTATCATTTCAGTGGTCTCCTGCTGTCCATTCTCTTCACATTTCAATCTATCCACCATTGTTCTTTTAATACAAATCAACTAAAAAAAATTCCTTTGGTGGCATCCTACCACCTAGAACAATGTTTGTGTGTGGTAGAGGGTACACAGGAGTATGTAATGGTTTAAATATGAGGAGAGCATCCTGACTTCATGCACTAAAAGCTTATCGGCACCACTGCACCAGCAAATGAAATTTTTTAAAATTCCATTTATAACAGCATTTAAAAACATAAACACTTAGGAATACATTTAATAAAAGGGGTATACCAAAAGAGGTATAGGACCTTCATAATGAAAACTATTAGATAATGCTGAGGAAAATTTTTAAAGTCATACATAAACACATTATGTTCAAGGATTCAAAGATTCAATACAGGTAAGAAATCAGTTCTCCCCAAACTGATCTACATAGATTCAACACAGGATAGGATTTTCTGTAGAAATTAACAAGTTGATTCTATATTTTATAAAAAAATGCAAGGACTTAGAATAGCCAATACAATCTTGAAAAAGTTTACTGTAAAACTGAAAAAGTTGACTGAAAAAGTAAAGTCCTTTTCTTGAAAAAGTTGGAAGACTTACACTATATTAAGCTAATTAATTGCATAAGGATAAGCAACGGATCAATGAACCAGGTTACCAAATCCACAAACACACCCATACACAAAGGGTCAACTGATTTTTTTTCAAAAGTGCCAAGGCATCTCAATGGGGAAAAAAATTTTAAAAATTGGTTCTGACAATTAGATAACATATGGAAACATAAATGAGCCTCTATATTATCTCATATGAAATGTAAAATTTATTTGAGGTAGATTATAGACACATATATGAAGAAACTCTGAGGCCTATAATTTTTTTGGGAAAAAAAAAAGAGATCTTAGAATATATTAACTCAGAACTATACAGAATACCATACAAAGACTTTCATATGCTGGACCCTGCCTTCCTGGGCAGCCTTATCTCCTGAAGTTTCCACCTATGTTAAACTATTAACAAACTAAATACTGTAATTCCCCTGAAGATGACATGCTCCTTCATACCTCTGTTCAAAATGATCCCTTAACTCTAGTGAGTGCCTACTTACTTTTCAACACTCATGAAAATACCATCTGCTACCTCTATAGACTTCCTTAACCCCTCCTCTGAGTTACCACTAAAAGGAAGGAAAACTAACATTATTGAGTATTTAACATATGTTAGACATTTTTACACAGTACCTCATTCTATTACTGAAATACAAAAGTTAACAGCATAACTTCATGATTGTTTGTAGGCTGTTGTTGGCTACTTGAGAGTTGGAAAGAGTCTACAATGGTGCTGTTTACCTTTTAAATTGGAGCTCTGGTAGCATAGTGCCTAAGGCACTTGACTGCTAACCAGAAGGCTGGCGGTTCAAACCCACCAGCCACTCCTCGGAAGGAAGATGGGGCAATCTACTTCCATAGAGATACTACTGCCTCAGAAACCCAAGGAGGGGTCACCATGAGTCAGGTCTGACTCGACGGCACATAACAACAACAACAACCACCTTTTAAATTAACCGAAGTCAAATTTCTAAGATTAACCAGCCACTCAGCAATTAGGTAAGGAGTCACAGCCCACCCAGAAGGTACTCAATAAATATAGAAATGATGTGTGGTTTTCAAATACTGAATTCTCAAGAACAGTCATTCCTAGGAAAACATATCTGGCTGTAATTCTTTCAAGAAAAAAATCAAATACCTTAGATCTTCCTTTTGGACACTTACCTGTATTCTTCCTTGCCCTGTGGTATAAGCAAACCTTGAAGCTCTACCACAAAGTCCTCATGCAATAAACAGTAAGAAATAGGAATGCTAGAGAAAGAAAGAAAGAAAAAAATCTTTACTTTAGCAGGCAACGAATAGAGATCGACATCCTAAAACCAAAAAGCAAACTACGGGTTTTAAACTTAAGTCCACATATGACTTGCTCTGGGTTTATAAATCTCACACATTTTTATGTCTATGTGTATTCCTCTGGGAAGGGGCCTATAGCTTCCATCTTCTCCACTACAGCATAACAATTAATGTATCTTTTCCTGATGACTCAAAAGTTTAAAACTATACTGTGCTATACAACCTCTACACAGTGATATCCCCAGGAATGACCAAAGTATCAAAGTATCAATTTCCCCCAGGTTTTCCCATCACTTTTTTTCCTTTAACAATCTGTTAGCTGTCACTTAGTGATATTCATATACCTGTCTTTAACAACACAGTGTACAAATTTCTTCCATGCTTGGCACAAATAAATTTTTCAACTCCCTCTGATCTTACTATGAAAACAATGTAAATATATCTAACATTTGAGAGTAAACAGGTTGAGTGAGGGTCTAAAGTACTCTCATATGACCTGTGGCACTTTGTTTTTTGCCTATATTTTGGTTATCACATATATTCCAAATAGACCAAGTTTATCAAATAATTGGCTTCAAGTTAAATATTATTGTACTATTTGTATAACAATACATTTGTATAAATAGCACTCTGTATAACGATGAGTATTATTTCTTTTAATGTACAACTGAGTCTTATGCCACCAGTAATAACTACTGTGAACATGAATATACTTTCATGTTTCATGAAACTTGAGCTGGGTACTCAACACATGTCATTAGAAATAAATCCTAAACCCTGATATGACATGTTGGTCCAGAGCATGAGTACTTTTGTTTGGTCTCTTATAAAGATTTTTATTTACTTAAACTGGAGCCCAGTAATTTTTTTTCAAATAAGAAAAACAACTTACTGGAGAGCTAAGAAAATATTTCTTCTACAAATTTATTTTAAATCTGAAAAAGGATGCAAGGTCTTTTACTTAGTTTCAAAGCATAACAAAGACACAAATCATCTAACTCTTTTAAAGGAAACACGACAAGTAATATACATATTGAAAGTACTTTTTCTAGTATTAATATCCATTTTGTGCCTTACATATGATATGAAGGGGAAAAAAACAACAACCTTTTCCCTGTACCGAAAAGTCTAAGCTCAGGTGAACAGAGAGCAGGAAAAATGTTTAATAGTTTTAAAATTCACATATGCGGTAAAGTAGGATACCTGTTACTGTGAAAATACTAACATTTGATGACAGTAGTATTAACTTTTATCACTTTAGAGAAGACATACAACAATTCTGGGGCTCAGTTTTCAATTCTGTAAAAGTAAATGTAGCTCTCTGGTGTTTCTTTCCGTTTTAAACCCTGAAGTAACATGCCTCCTTCCTTGTTATTGTCAATCTCATCACTTATATGCAAAGTAATAGGGGCCCTGACAATATGACTACCAATGTTTTAACTCAAACCCTTAAAACCAGTTCAGCCTAGAAACAGTGCGAGACAGTGACAAGTTATAGTGCCTAAGGCACCTAACTGCTAACCAGAAGGCTGGCGGTTCAAACCCACCAGCCACTCTTCGGAAGGAAGATGGGGCAATCTACTTCCGTAGTGACACTGCCTCAGCAACCCAAGGAGGGGTCGCTATGAGTCGGGTTTGACTCGATGGCACATAACAACAACACAACAACATGCTTGGGTGTCCTCTTTTTTAATGGTAGGGCAAGACCAAACAGGAAAAGAGACTGGCGAATGAAAAAGGTCTGACAAAAGAATGGAATCCAGGGCTGTAAAGAACTGGATTCATCCGGATGTTGCCAGATCCTCTTAACAGGTTGAGGATCGGAAGCTCAGAGAGGGACAGTGACCAGACCAGCCTAAGGTCTCTCAGCCAGTAGCGGCGGAGCAGGGGCCTGACGCCCAGCCTAGCGGTCGCGAACATGCTATATAACCCTGAGATTACCAACACCTGAAAGTGCAGCCTTGGGTTCGCAAACCTGGGGTTCCACCACTCCTAGTCCGTAGGGGCCGGGCGCTCCTTCTGGGAGGGCCCATGTGGTTGGGGGCATGGTGTCCAGCTGGAGACCTACTTGGCAGCCTGCACGAAGGCACACGCGTCCTCTGGGCACACGTAGAAACTCTTTCCTTTATTTGGACCATCGCGGACGCCAGTCTTTAGAAAGCAGAAGGTCCCTGAGGAGAGAAAGTCAACGATGATTAGACCACCGCTAGATCGGCAGACCCAGGCCCTAGAGCCCTTTGACAATGGCTACAACAATGAGCTAGACCCCTAGACCCTTACCATGAACAAGACACCTAATTGCTTCCATCACTCTCCTCCTATCTTCCGTGATACTTCTTCTCCAAACACTGTTTTCCGCCTTTTACTCCGCCCTCCTCATTCAGGAACCAATCATCATTCATCTCCCTCAGTCTTTACCCCATAATTCACCTCTCCAGGCCTTAAATCCCACCTAGCTAAAATCAGCCAGTCATATAGGAAGTGTCGCTTACCTATAACCAATCAAAGTAGACCTCAGGCTTCGCGCGCCTAAATCAAAAAGAAGCGAGGGGGCGTGTCGGACCTAGCATTTGCCGGGTGGGGCGTGGTTGACTGACCGACGGTGCTTCAGAAGAAAAAGAAACTAGGATTTGCAAGCCTTGGAGTGACGGAGGCGGAGATCGACTCCAGTTTAAGGTCAAGAGGCGGCCCTAGAGGGAGCATGAGGTAAAGCTGCAAGGAGTCGGCTACATTTTCCTGGAGACTAAGAGCCCTTCTATCCTCGCAGCCTTGTAGAAGCCAGGGCCTGGCGCTCGTGGGCTCTCTCTCTGCCTTAGTGCTCGGTCACTGGGGTAGGAGATGGTCTCGAGAAGCAACCACTTACTTGCCGGAGGAGCCACTGAATTTGCGGTGCTGGAGTGGCAGGAGTAGGGGGGGAGGTAGGGACCTCTTTAAAGCTGTGATGATGTACCGAAAAGTCTAATCGAGAAGGAGTGAAGACTAGAATCCCACAGCAATCCTTTAAATTTGCGTGTTGTTGTTGTTGTTAGGTGCCGTCGAGTCGTTTCCGACTCATAGAGACCCCATGCACAGCAGAACGAAACACTGCCCGATCCCGCGCCAGCTCCACGATCCCTGCTATACTTGAGCCCATCATCACAGCCACTGTGTCAATCCATCTCGTTGAAGGGCTCCTCCTCTTTCGTGGACCCTCCACCCTACCAAGCATGACATCCTTCTGCAGGGAATGGTCCCTTCTGACAACATGACCAAAATAGGTGAGACAAAGTCTGGCCATTCTCGCTTCCAAGGAGAATTTCGGGTGCACTTCCTCCAGGCAGATCTGTTAGTTCTTTTAGCAGTCCATGGTACTTTCAGCATTCTTCGCCAGCACCACAACTCAAAAGCATCAACTCTTCTTTGGTCCTCCTTATTCATTGTCCAGCTCTCACATGCATACGAGGCGACTGGAAATAGCATGGCTTGTGTCAGTCGCACCTTAGTCCTCAAGGAGACATCCTTGCTCTTCAGCACTTGAAAGAGTTCCTTCGTGGTTGACTTTCCCAATGCTACACGTCGTTGTCTAATGTCCTGACTGCTGCTTCCGTTGGCATCGATTGTAGAACAAAGCAACGTGAATTCTTTAAATTTGCGTAGGCTGTGTTATTGGGAGCTCTGGTAGCATAGTGCCTAACGCATTGACTGCTAACCAGAAGTCTGGCAGTTCAAACCCACCAGCCAATCCTGGAAAGGAAGATTGGGCCATCTACTTCCATAGAGCTACCGCTTCAGAAACCCAAGAAGGGGGCTCTATGAGCCGAATGGACTGGAAGGCAGTGAGTTGGTGTATTTTTGTTGTATTTTCGTGTTGTTAGGTGCCTCCCAGTCTATTCCCACTCACAGCAACCCATGTATGCAGAGTAGAACTGCTGCATAGGATTGACTGTGACTTTTGGGAAGCAGATCGCCAGGCCTGTCTTCTGGGGCACTTCTGGGTGGTTCAAGGTGCGCCAAACGGTTAAATGGAGGGCTTATCCATTTGTGCCACCCAGAGACCATCTGCCTAGCACTTTAGACTAAACAAAGTGCTAACACATACACGTCTCATTTGACCCAACCACCTGGTAAAATGAGTAGCATTTTGTGGAAGACCCAGAGATTGTTGTTGTTGTTATGTGCCATCGAGTGGACCCCTACTCATAGTGACCCCACCTTGGGTTTCTGAGGCAGTATCACTACGGAAGTAGATTGCCCAACCTTCCTTCTGAGGAGTGGCTGGTGGGTTTGAACCGCCAGCCTTCTGTTTAGCAGTCAAGTGCCTTAGGCACTATGCTACCAGAGCTCCTAACCCAGAGATTAAGAAGTTTAAATTTAAATGGCTTGCTTAGGGTCATAGTTATTGAATGGCACATCTTTGGACAAGTGCACAGGTCTCAGATCCAGGCTCAGTGCTATTTGGATCACGCAGCTTCCCTCCCACCCCCCACCCCCGTGGCTACTGGATATTCTCCAGGCACACTTGTAAAGCCCTGAGCTGTGCTTCAGGGTGGAAGCAACAAGGGGGAAAACAGATGGATCAGCTTTGGTGAAGGGGAATTTCACTTTGCATATTTTGTACCATCAAACTTTCTACTAATATACTTTTGTATTTTAAAAATCAAGAATAAAGTAAAAGAAAGGGGACTTTTTTTTTTTTTAATTGTGATTTGGGTGAAAGTTTACACAACAATCACTTTCCATACCACAGCTCACATACACTTTGTCTCATGACATTGACTGCAATTTCCCACAATGCAACAGTTCCCCTCCCACTTTTTCCCCATAATTACCTCTTCCCTGTGTCCTTCCTTCCCATGCACTCCTGCCTCCTAGCTGTCTCCCTGTGCGTATACAGCCCTTCTATTCTCCAATGATTGTTCTCTCCAAGAAGTGTAGCTACCTAATGTAAATGTTCAGTTCATATGCCTGTCTTTTGATTGGCTGGAAGCCACAGGAGTGGGTTCAGTTCCAGACCTGAAGAGCATCTAGGGGCCATAGTCTCAGTAATTCCTTCAGGCTCTATCAGACCAGCAAACCTGCTCCCCCCCCCCTTTTTTTTTAATGATTTTGTGTTTTGTTCCACATTGTTCTCCCACTCCATCCAGAATCTCCTGCATAGATCCCTCTCCAAGGGGTTGACAGTGGTAGCTGGGCACCATCTAGTTCTTTTGGTCTTACAGTCCTATAGGCTGAGAATCACATGGTGTACCAGTCGCTTGGACTGATTGTTTCCATGCATCTTTGGTTTCTTCATTCTTCTTTGCTCTGGATGAGTAGAGACCCATCATTGCATTTAGATGGTCGCTTGCAGGCTTCTAAGATCCCAGTCGCTACTCACCAAAGTAGGATGTGGAACAATGTTTTTGTGTAGTATGTTATGCCAATTGAGCTTGATGTCCAGAAAGGGGACTATTTTGAAATCATAATCAAATCTATTAGTTAACAAAAAGGAAGGAAGAGAAATCTGAAATTTATTGCAGTAGAGATGACTTCTTACTATAGCTATGGAGAACCATGTGCAACAGTGTTTATGGGGACCAAAAAAACCAAACCAAACCCACTGCCTTCAAGCCAATTCCAACTCTAAGCAACCCCATTGGATTTCCAAGGGTGTAAATCTTTATGAAAGCAGACTGCTTCATTTTTCTTCCACAGAGCAGCTTATGAGTTCAAACAACTGACCATTTGGTTAGCACTTATGGGGACAGTGTAACAAAATCTGAACTGCCTAGGAAATCTGGACAATGTAATAAATGTAAATGTAATGGGGTGGTGCACAGCAGGCAACAAACCTGAAGTATCAGTCATTGACTAAACAAGTATTTATTAAATAACTTTTTGTGTAGTATGAACTAGGTGCTTGGAAGATTTATTCACACACATAGAAAATTTAAAACAACTGTTCTAACCACAAGGAGCTTACTCAATAGTTGGAGGAGACTGCACTAACACAAATATGACCTTGACGATTTAAATAGTAAGATGAATAGCTTTAGCAGTAAGTTATATGGTGGTAGTGGTGGTGTTAAGTGCCAAGCGGTTGGTTCCAACTGATACCGACCTCATCCACGTGCAACAAAACAAAATGAAACACTGTCAGGTCTTGCACCATCCTCACAGTAATTGCTGTGTTTGAGCTCATTTTTGTAGCCATTGTCAATACATTTCATTGAGGATCTTCCTTTTTTTTGCTGACCCTCTGCTCTACCAAGAGTGATGTCCTTCACCAGGGACCTGTCCTTCCTGATAACATGACCAAAGTATATGAGGTGAAGTCTGGCCATCCTCACTCCTAATGAGCAATCTTGCTGTACTTCTTCCAAGACAGATTTGTTAGTTGTTCCGGTAGTCTGTGGTACAGTCAATATTCTTTGCTAACACCATAATTCAAATGCATCAGTTCTTCTTCAGTCTTCCTAATTCATTGTCCAGCTTTCACATGCACATGTTGTTGTTATTATGTGCCGTCGAGTTGGACCCAACTCATAGTGACCCCTCCTTGGGTTTTCGAGGCAGTATCACTACAGAAGTAGATTGCCCCATCTTCCTTCTGAGGAGTGGCTGGTGGGTTTGAACGCCAGCCTTCTGGTTAGCAGTCAAGTGCCTTAGGCACTACGCTACCAGAGCTCCCATTGAAAATACCACAGTGTGGATCAGGTTCCCCATAGTCCTGAAAGTGGCATCTTCATTTCTGAACATTTTAAGAAGGTTTTTTTGCAGCAGATTTGCCCAATGCAATACATTGTTTGACTTTTTAATTGCTGATTCCATGGGTATTGATTGTGAATCCAAGTAAAATTAAATCCTCGACAACTTCAGTCTTTTCTCCATTTATCATGAGGAGACTTACTGGTCCAGTTGTGAAGATTTTTGTTTTCTTTATGTTGAGGTGTAGCCCATACTGAAGGCTGTAGTTTCTGTAGGACTATAGTTCTTCCACACTGTAAATTCTGTAGGACTAGAGAAATATGAATCTGGAATTTGCAAAGTAAAGGTAATTTATATATCACTACCCATCTGAAGTACCTACAGATAAGCACCTATACATAAGACAGAACCAAAACCAAACAAACAGGAAGAGGCATTTTCAATATTTCCAGATTGTAATTCTTACTTCGAAAGATTTTCGTGTACAGTTTTAGAAATTTTATTTTTGCTGTTGAGATTATACTCAGTAAAACAGACCTCAATTTAACAGTTTCTACATGTACAATTCAGTTATTTTGACCCATTTTCACCCTCATTTTCTGAGTTGGTCCTCCCCCATTAACATAAACTCACTGCCCCCTA